GTAAAATAATGGAACAAGCATGTTGTTAACGTTATTCCAAAACAGCTGGGCATCAGACATCCTAGAAGGAGCTCCTTAATTATTAGGATTTTATTTCTAATAAGTGGGGGCTGTGGGAGCTGTGGTTATGGGGTGCCCCATGCTGACAGCCACGCTCTTGGTGCTGTCTGGATCTGTGTGTGTGTTAAGGCAGCCAGCCTGCAGCCCACCTTCAGCTCACATCCTTGTCATAAGGTGCTCCAACTTGTCCGTTCCTGAAACCCTGGCCTACAAATACTTGTAGTGGAGTTCAGTTGGTTTGTAGTGCTCTTTTTTAAAGGCTCTTTGATTGTGCCAGCTTTTTTTTTTTTTTTTGTCCCTATGAGCAGATGTCTGAGATGGCAGTGCATTAATGAAGGCGTTGCATTTCTTTTACCTCTTAGATTAATTCTAACTTATGAGATTACCAGTGCGATGTTATCCCAACTGTTTCTTGACTTGTTGCTTTAAATCTAGTTCTCAGCTTTGTTCTGCCACACATGTGCAGTGTAATCTGTGTGTGTTTCTGTAATTTCCCTTACATTTGCAGATTTCTCTATTGTTAGTTACCTAGTACGTATTTAAATGCATACAGGCAAAGCATCTAATGTTATAGCAATTAAAAACACCAAACAGTTCTTTGTGATTTTGCTGAACACGGTTTAGTACATGACTTCTGGGAGATGGATGTGATGGACTGGAATTCCGTCATCTGCAGTCAGTGCCTGCTTGACCTAAGATTAAAACGAGGTGTCGTTCAGCAGCCCTGGCCTGAAGCTGCAGCTGTGTGTAACAGCCACGAGTCAATTACAGCCCTGATGCTTCTGCTGAAATCAGCAGTAACAGCACACGCTTGACACTATTTTATTTTTTTCCTCATTACTGTGATGTGGAAGGGATGGCTTTTCCTGAACTGATATCTCATAAAGCTGCATGCAGAAGCACAGCCTTGAGTCACTTACACACATGGCTCGCATCTGTGTCAAAAAGTCACTTACTTTGCTTTCCTCATCTCTGGTGGAAGTCAAGTCATCTGCCTGTAAGTACACTGCTACAATACTGGGAAGCTGAGAATGCTTTGTTATGAAGGCAGTGGCACAACATTATAGGCCCATGGACTCATTTCTGCCAGGATGACTTGATTCTTCCAGTCTGAATTGCTTGCCTGGGATTCTTTGGACAAGTGTCAGACAGTAAGCAATGCTTTTACCTGGCCATGAAGAAATGTGAAGTGTTTTCTTGATGTGTGGGGAAGTACTTTAGGGAGTTATGGAGTGGTGAGGCTCCTTACCAACACGACAGCTCTGAAGTGGAATGATAAGGTGGTGTTCAACTTCAGGCATTTTGTTTGATTGTAATTTATTTTAACTTCTTCAGGAGTTCTGTTTGGTGCTATCTCATTGCTCCACTAAATGCAGTCAAGAAAGCAGTGAATTATCTCCCCTCTGCTAGTGAGTCTTGAAGAACTATTTGAGTGGCTATGGAGGAGAAGAAATGTCAGTAACTATAAAAGGAAAAACACAGACTTCCAGTATAATATCTTATCTCTAGGTGGAGCTTGGGAACCTACCCTGATGTGACTTGTGGGCACAGTGGGGCAGTCTTTGGTGTCCTGTTGTGGTTTCTGCAGCTGTCACACTGTTTTATATTTCTTAGTAAAAGCACTTTGAAGAGTTTTGGAACTTCAAAGCTATGACAGTGTCAAGTTCATTTGCGTTTATACTCCTTCATTTGTCTTATATCTGACAGTCCACCAAGAGTAATTGAAAAAATTGGTTTTTGGTGTCGTTTTTTAACTATAATATTCCTTATGGAAATAGTTGCTGGTTTTGGTATGAAAACCTTTGTCTCCTTTGGCTTTAAAGGATAGTGGTTGTTCCTCCCAGAGAATGAGAATTCTTGCATGTGTATATAAATATACAAATATATGACAGGCTACATAAATTGTTGCAGCACTGTTAAAAATACGTGCACAAATGTACGTGTCTACGCTTTATTTATTAATGAATTAAAATACACGCCTACTGTTTTGACTCATCTGTAGACAGTCTGGTGTCCCTGCATCTCCTTGCATTTTGAAGCAGGACTTTCCTATCTAGTTGCTGTTTTACCTTGTGTTCCAGAGGCATGACATTATGATCATCTCCAGAAACAAAAGGGTGAACATAAAATTTTTAAAGGACATTCAAGTTGCATAGATGCTTTTAAAAATAGCACGTTAACTTAAACTGTGGTTCATCAAGCTAATGCTTCTCCTCTTTGCCCTATGAGGAATTACAGATGCCCTGCTGTTATTTTTGTCTATTCAGCTGTGTTCGTATTTCTTGCCGATGGAATTCTAAAATTATACCGTAGTAAAGTTCATGTGGAGAAGACAGACAAGATTTGAGCTGAGGAGTTCTCTGCAGATGGTCTCATGCATACTGAGACATGGTGATAGCCAGCCCAGAGAGCAGTCTGTGTGGGAAGAGTCTCAGAAGGGAAGTGGGGCTCTGCAGAGCAGGCAGATGTATTGCAGCTTTCCTCCATGGCCTCAGTTCAGGCTTCAACAGCCACTCCATCACGTAGTGAGCACTGAGAGACTTGAAAGAAGGCCTCCATGATTTCTGTGTTGCAAATTTGAACTGCCTTAACACTGCATAGAAATGTATTTATTTATGTTTCCTCTGGAGATAAGATGATAAAAATCCATTTGGCTGATTCTTATTTCATAGCTTTGTAAGTATTTTTTATTTATTAGGTGTATGGTTTGGCCAGTGCTTCTCTCTAAGCCCATTTCAACAAGTAAAATGAATGTTAAGTGACTGATGTTGTGTGTTACTGTCAGTGTGCTCAGTCCTTCCTGTTCTGATCTATCTGGCTATCTGTAGGTATTCATATATAAAGACAAATAAAAAATGCAATGCTAATTATTCAAATCATCCTAATTTTATATATGCAATAATAGTAGGATGTGATTTTTACTTGTAACTCAGCTGTTTTAAAGCTCTTAAGTTCTTTAGTACCCAATTCTTCTGTGGAAAAAATGTCTTTTCTGTGAAAGGTATAGGAATAAATCATGGAGATATGTGATCAAAGAGAAAAGGGAACATACCTGTGCAGGTTTGGGTTTAGCAGCACGTGAATGACAGCTTCGTATCTCTGCGACTGCTGTGTGACACTTGTAGGGAAAGAAGTGTTGGGTGTAACGAGACTACTTGTATTTATTTAAGAGATGCACAGCTATTTTTGGAAAGCTGTGGAAGAGCACGCTGTCAGTCCTTCAACTTTGACAAGATGTTTTTTCATTGCTACTTCTTCAAGAAGAGCGTGGTATTAAGTGGTATTATTACTTTCTTTAATCTGTTTCATTGACTCCTCTACTGGGCAGAAGTCGCCTTTCTTTGTCAGATTTTTGCTGCCTTTTCTTTCTGTTAAAGCACTCGAGAGTGTGGAGAACCAGAGATAACAAGGAGAAAAACATCTAATATTACAGCTATCCATTATAACTTATATTTTAGAGAAGCACAGTAAAAGAAACTTTGCTCCAGAAGAACTAAGCACTACCACCAATAAAAAGCCCCTACGTGTGTGCTTCCATAGCATTTTTACAGTTTGCCATTATATTGGGGGGTAAAAAGAAAACTGCAGTTTGCTCTATAGCTCCTTTGAGCACTTGAGTTTCTGAGGAATTTGAGATGATTGCCAGTTGTGTCTTCTGACTGAGTAGAGCTACGTGGCTGTGTGTTGCCCTGTCTCCTGCAGGGGAGCTGGTATGGCCTGGTGTACCTTTCTGCCACCTACCAACCCTTTCATTGTGAACAGAAAAATGCTTTATAGGAAAACTTACCATCATTTTTTACCCAACTGAAATCTTTTCTGACTCCAGGTTTTTCATCTCCTATATGTGGAGTTGTCTGGTTAACCACCAAGGCTATTGTTCTGATACAGAAACTGCTCAAAGTGTAATACAGCGATTGTTTCATATGGTTTCTAAGGCCACAAATTGGTGCAGTCTTTTTTTTTTTCCTTATTTATTTTTTTAAAGGCTACCAAGAACATGGCAGCAGTTGCTTGGCTGGAAGGTGTCTGACTGCCACGAGCAGTTCTGTATTCAGAGAGTGAGGAATCCTTGGGCACCCCAGTCTTCTCTGTCTTAACTCTCCTGCAGCTACTTTGAGTATTGGGGAGTGAAAACAGACCAGTTAGCAGCATGCTTAAAAACGAATTGTTGGAGGTAGCCAGAACATGCCTGCCATGTTTTATGTAGGTGACTGACATGGGTGACAGATGGGTGACTTTGTAATGGATCAGCATCCCTTCAGTTCCCCTAAAGCTGCCATTGTTGCTGTCTTTCAAAGGTGGAGCAAGGTGACCTTATTGAAAGCTGATCAATGTTGAATCCACCTTATCCAGAAAACTATCTTCTCGCTTCTGGGATGGGCTTCACTTTAGAGTGTTTTGCAAATTCCCCTGACAGTAATGCTGGATTACTTTTTTCTGTCTTTTCTACAGTAGAACTGCCACATCCAGACCTTGTTTGACATCAGCAAGAAAAACTGCTCCCAACAGTCTATATGCAGCACTTGGGAAGTAGGGTCTGTGACAGTTCCAGGAAAGCATTGTTATTCCTATAGAATATACAAATGGCCTGCACAAGTAAATTATTAATCAGGATCTAAAATCTATGCTTATTCTTCCAGTGTTTCTTTCATGTTCCAGTTGGCTTTAGCACTGTTATTGTTGTAATGGTGTTGTGATACACACAGCAGCCATTCTTTGTGCTATGGGAGGGAGCTGTGTGCACCTTCCTGGAACCCAATCAGTAGTTATTTCCTGATCAGGACTCTCCATGTTTTCCTCTGGAGGCATCTTATTTGTTATTTTCTTTCTTGTTCTTTCCCTGATGGCTTCTTTTGTCATGCCTCCATTGTGCAGTTGTACAGACAGCACTGGGCACCTCACTGAGGCACATATAAATTGTCACTGTTTGCTGGGGATTTACTGGCTGTTTAAGTTTTACTCGTGTGATTGCTTTGTGATTATAAGGATGTATTTGCTAAACAAATCTGACCGTAACTAATCCTATAAGGACGCATTTCTGGGCTGCTTTGCTTGATTCATCACAGGTGGTTTGCTGAGTAATGTATAGCAAGCTTTCAGAGTTTGTGTTGTTTCTGATGTTCTCAAAAGTATTGCCTTGTAATACAGAGTTGTTTAGGACCACCTAAAGAGGGAGGAACTCCGTAGAGGTTCAGATGTACTCTAAGCATCCATTGTAAGCTAAGCTATTCTTATGGAGAAGGTAAAGGGAGGCAGGGCCTTTTGAGGAGGTTAGGTGGTGCACATCAAGGCTGTGGGAACAGACAGATCTATTGGCCTGTGCCTTAGGTCACATTTGGAGATTGTATTAAGCACTTCCCATGCAATATGTTTTGCCACATCTTGGAAGAATAGCATTTCTTAAAGTTCAAGTTTATTGTAGACTTGACAGTACAGTCCAGTAATAGTAAAACACAAATCTATGGAGTATGTAGCTTCCTGATGTGCTTAAGGAAGCTTGTAGAGTGTTGAGAGAACTCAGTCTCACTCTTTGGTGAGTTAAAATTCAGCAGACATACAATAGATAGGAAGATCTTACAAGAAGTACTTCAGTAACCTGGCATGTTGCTAAAAGAACCTTTCTGCTTTAAGAGAACATGTGAAGGAAAAAGCATCTACAACAGTTTCTCATTAAGAACTATGCTTAAATAGACAGTGTATTATTGTAAAATAATTGCAGACATCTGTGACACGTATATTTTTTTTTGTCAAAAACTCTCTTGTAGGGAACTTCTTGCATTTGAGCCCCTCTCTCTTTTAATACGGACTTGCAATGCGTACAAAATAACAGAGATTACAAATGTTTTTCTCCTACACTAGCTGCTTTCACTCAGAATATCTCCTACCCAAACGTAAAATGGTACTTCATTGAAGGAAGAAGTTGTGATGGTTGTGTAAGGTTTTTTTTTTTCCATGTACTTGCAATGTGTACATGTTGGTGGGAAATAACAGTTTTCATGTAGTGCTCTATTTTTGGTAGAGGTATATCTGGAAGAGATCTGAATAAATTTTCAACTCCTGCTGTCAGGGGTAACCATGAGCAGGGAGGTGAGGAGGAGGGAGGGATGATGGATGGGTTCCTGAGCTGCTGTCAGGAAACTGAGCTGGGATCTGCAGCACAAGCTCTGTGCCTTTACACATCTCATTGGTCTTCAAGCTCAGTGGGATCAGGAGCATCTGCTCTCCTGAGGCAAGTGAGTGACTCCTGAGCATCCCAGAGCCACCTGGACTGTGTGGGATATGAGAGGTCAGTGCCTGCTGCAAGGAAGAGCAACAGCTCACCTTCCCCCAGCATTGCTGGGCTGGGGGACAAGCTGGCATAGAAAACTTAACCTTATGCTGACTCCTGGTGTATTGAAAAGTCACAGAATGCCAAGGCAGAACAAAGGCACTTTAATAGGTAGCAACAGTCTTTGCGAGATATTTACTTTCTACTGCCGAGCAGAAAGAACAGAAACGTACTGGCTGATCTTTACCAGGACAATAATCAGACATCCACCGGTAAACAGGAGCGTGGGCCAAAGGAAAGTGAAGAGGAGGCCTTTGGGGGGATAAAGTCTGCTTAAAATGACATTGGTCTGCATTCCTCCTGGGTCATAGTAGCATGGGAACGTCTGATATTTTTTGAAATTGTTTGCAATTTTTTCTATTCGTGCTTTCACTTCTTTGGAGTTCTCGGAGTTGCCGGGGACATACGAGCACTGGAAGGAGAAATTGAAATGACTTGTTATAACAGATGCTGTAATGCAGGATTTGTAGTAACGTTGCATTGAGTAAAACAAACATGCTGGTGCTGACAAAAGCTCCTGTGGCTTGGCTGGTATCCCGAGATTGGCTTGGTGTGCCTTTGTCCATGAGACATTTGCCCTATTTCCCCGCTGTCTGCCGGTGCATGTATGCTCCAAATTTGCAGACTTACAGGTTGGAGTAATGTTGCTAGAAACCATTAACATGCTCAGAATGAAACTCCGGCTTTGGGACTGTCACTTTTATGTTATAGTACCATTTGTCTTCAACTCAGAGACTTGCATATGTTTAAATATTCATATATGTTAAATATTCATGACCAGTTGGTACAACTGCTTAATAAGTATTAACTTAATGTTTGATGTAATGTTTAAAGAAAAAATCGGAGCACCTTCTATGTTCTGAAACATTTTAAGCATTCCTTGGTCTAAGCATGAGCATCAGTGTATGAAAGCTGAACAACTATTTGTGCTCTGCTGCTTGGCTGCAAAGCTGTGTGCCTTGCTCTTACTGCTCCCATTGAATCAGAAGTGTTGAATAGCATCAGAGAGAGAATGGAATGTGCTCCAAATACCTTTGGATTTCTTTCCAGGGTATCTTCAGTGTGATACAACATGACCTCTTGTCCTGAGGCTGTCAGATTAACCCACACCTGTAGGCAAGGGTAGTGAAAGATATCTTCATCCTCTGAGCTTTCGCTTTTTGGGCAGAGGGCTTTATCCTTGATGTTGGCTTTGAGGACCTTGCATATGGTTTCTGTTGTCCAAACACTACAAAACCAAAACAGAAAGCATTGCTTTTGTGGCATCAGTTATGAGTTATTAAACATTAGAGCTTCATCTCTGGGTGCCACTGCTGGGTTAGCACAGGCAGAGCTCAGGCTGCTCATCACCAATGCAGTGAGCTTTGCCCCTCCTACCACTCTTAAGAAACTAATTTTTTTTACAAGTCTTTTGTTAATGTTTTTCAAATCTCAGAGTATGGCTCTAAACAGCTTTACTGAATCCATTACGGAATATTGTTACATAAAGTAGTGTTGAAGTCTGCCTGTTCTGTTTTTGTGGTATGAAAAACAGCATTGGTATCTGCCAATATATATGCCTGGAGGTTTCTGAGTATAAAGGTGCTGCTACAAAGAAAGAAACAATTAATGTACTTCTGCCAAAATCTTCATGCATGGAAAAACAAGCTACTGAAGTCTCAGTTTTAGTAAACGCTTGGTTTTAGTACACTTCGTTTTTTGCAAATTGATTTTATATATAGAGGCAGAACTTGTGAAATGAAATAAAAATGTGAGTGATTGTAACCTTATTGGCATTCAATGTATTCTGCAGTATTTGTGGTGGTGGACTCGGCTGCTGAAGGTGTTTCTCATGATGGTTGATCTGGAGGCAATATGCATCTGATTGACCAAACAAATTTACCATTACTTCTCTGATAAGCCTGTATCACTGAAAAGTATGGGTTTTTTTCTTGCTTTTTTTTTTTTTTGGTTACATTTATGGAAGACTTAACTTTCCATTTTCAAACTTTGATAAGCACGACTGGTTTTTATCTTATTTGGTTCATAGTAAATGTTTTGGTTTAGTTTGCTCTGGTTCTAGCCCTGAGGATGGTCATAGCCCTCTTTCGTGTGCTTACCTGTAAGTGCCTCACTTAATGGCTCACTCTTTTCTTAATTCTATCTTTCGTTCTTGTGAGCTCTTTAAAAATGTAATATTTATTCATTATTCTGCATCCTAACATATATTTTGGCTCTCTTAATAATTGTGTTTGAAAACAGCAAAAAAGAAACAGCCTTGTATTCATAATCAAATGATTTACTACCTTTTAGTGTAGAATGGCACAATTGTAATCCCAATAAAGAAGTACATCATCATGGAGCATGCGACCATTCCCAGTCCCAGGCATAGGGCCCTCGTCTCTCCTCGCTTCTGCGCAGTCACCAGCTTTTTTGCCAACATGATTTAGGTGGTAGGAAGTCTGGAATGTCTCTGATCCTGTTTTGTGAGAGACAATCATGATTAGAATGGGCTATCAGTATTGCAGTTGAATGATTTCTGAAATATCTTGTTGCACAAACTGTCTACTGCTTAAGAAAGTGATGGGCGAAGAAAGCAGGGAGGGAAGGTTGGGTGGGAGTTGGAAACTATCATTATGATCTGAGGGAGTTTGAACAGCTGGATTGTCTTTAGCCTTAATTTGGCCTATTTGACATTACTTCTTGAAGTAAGAAGTGCTCTGTGTTGTGTATTGGTAAAGGCTGCATGAAGGGAAAACCCTCCCAAAGTAGAGTCCTTTTTCCATTTTTTCCATTCCGTCTTCAGGTTTAGCCTGAAGTGTGTCTTTCTTTTTTATTATTATTTCAAAAGAGCTGGAAAAGTGTTACATTTAAAATTAGATGTATGGTTTTGATTCCTCAATGTATGTTTTATAGCCTTGTCCATTTGGAGATATATCAAGCCTGCTACCCAACTACATGGGGCGGAAAAACTGCCTTTTAATGGCACGAGGAGGGTGATGCCACCAAACCCAATGGGACAGGATCAGAAGACAGCAGTGAGGGCTGCTGCTGTTCCACCACAGGTGCAGGGCAATGACTGCTGCTGGCACTCATAGATAGGGATGAGCCCTGCAGTGCTGGTGTCATACTGGGAGCTCATAGAGCTCAGGAGAGCCTGGCATCTCACCCGTGCTCCCCTGCTGAACAGCATTTCCAGTCATCTTGCTGATACTTTGCTGTAGAGAATCTGATGATATTTGCTGTGAATCCATATGCTATTAAATCAGTACTGTTGTTTTATGGGATTGCTATCAAAATGAGGCATAACAATCACAAAGAGTTCAGCCCATCTCCAGGATCTGTGTCCCACTGACAGGTGTAACTTAGGGTTTGAGCATTTGCTTTTTTAATTGAAACATGGGGCAAGCCACTGGTAGGGAAAAAACAGACTGGCAAGATGTGTGTGGGTTTCTGGGCACAGAAGAGAGGAAAGCAGTGCAGGAGAAGGGCAGAATGTTATGTGTGTGGCACAACAGATCTTGTCTTGTTCTCATTGCAAAACAGTAGTGCACAGCTTCGTGCAGTGGCTGAGACATTCTCGGGGTTTTGGCTTTAGGTGTGTGCAGGTACCCACTGAAATCCACCTGTGCTCAGCTAATCCACGGGGCAAATAAAAGATGTGAGTTTAGGTAAAGCATAAGGTAGCCACAAGCCTGAGTTGGTGAATAGCTGCTCTTTTACCCGTGAGCAGGCAATCCCAGCAGTGCCAGGCTGGGAGAGCTGTGGGGCTGGGTCAGCATGGCTGGGGAAAGGCAAGAGAAAGACACTGTCAGCTCCTTAAAGAAGTGTGTGGGTATAATTCGAGTGTTGCTAGTTTGAGATCTTAATTTTCATTTGTGTATATTTTCAGGTAACTATTAATGCATAATACCTAAATGTTTTGAGGGGTCATTAGGAAGAAAAAGAGTTGTTATTGTTGAAGTAGTGAATTTTGTCCAGAACTGTGGTTAATTCTGCTTTTAAATAGAACAATAAGGACCACTCAGGATGTGGCTTACAGCTTTCTTAAGGGCATCGTCTTTCTGATGATTGTGTATGACCTGCTGGTGTTCTAGAAGGGAACAGTCTTCACTTGGAAACTGCAGTAAGATGGATGTGACCTGCTTATAGGAGCTGGAGTTTAACACAAGAAGTCCACGCAACCATATGAGCTAATATTCTTAAGTTAGGTTGTGCAGCTTGGTCAGGGGATGAGATGGAACAGAGGGGGCATGGGCCCTGAGGCCAGGTGGTCCTGCAAGAACAGTGGGAAGCTGGTGACAGCGAACAGGAGACCTGCCTTGTTAGCAATTCTTACATGCAGTAAGGATGATTAATCTTTAATCAGTTCTGTGAGAAGGAGTGGAAAAATGGGTACCGTCTGCATGACTTGAGGATAACTCTGTCTCTAGTGCTGTTACTCTCCAAGTTTTACTCGAGCTACAGTGTTTACATAGCTGTCCCAGTTACGCTGGGAAGTTTTGGGATCATCCTGTGTGTATATATAGAAAAAATGTATTTGGAGTTTCACCGGTGCTCAAAAGGTTAATATTCCAGATTGAAAAGTTCTTCTCTTCCATCTTCTAGCCCCACCAGTGCACGTTAGGAGGAATGTTGAAAGAGCTCATTAAGTGTTTCCTTTGAAAAAATCATTAAATCTCTGAAAAATGAAGCACTGCTGAGGACTCAATTGGCCCAGGAAGTCTGAGTGTATTTGGATTGGAAGATGTTTGGAGTATATAATGGGGATTTTAGCTTGTCCTTCAAGAGCAGATCTAAATGTGTCTTCTGCACTGAAGATTGCAGGGTGCCTCCATAATTATTAGGAAAATACAAGCTCCAAATCTTTTCATAATGTTCCTTCTCCCTGATATTTCTTTTCCCTCAGTCTAGTTAAATTATACAGTACATTAGCTGTGCAATTTCAATGCATAATCACTGCACTGACAGCTGCTGGTGATAATCCTAAGGATGCCATCTGCTCAGGTTTGGAACACAGTCCCCTGCTCTGACTAGCAGATGTGCCTGATACTCAGTGGGAAGCCCCTGCCTCCTCTCCCATCTCTTGAGGAGTTCCCAGTGCCGTGAGCTGGTAAGAGGTAGAGGGCCTCTGTCTCAGGCTGTGCCAGGCTGCTCTGAGCTCATTAGCAGCACTATCCAGGGGATGTCCATAGCATCTACTGGTGTGGGAGCCAGAAGGCAATTGCAAATCTGAGTCCTGTAAATATAAGTTCTGGTTATTCTGCTGTGGCAGAGCTGTATGCCTTATTTACTTGCTAGTGTCTCGTAGTAGAATTAAGCTCATCGCTGACGTTTGTTTGTTTATTCCTCTGAGTGTTTGCAATGCTCCTTTCCCATACTTGCTCCCCCCACGTACATCCCTGAAGTTAGACCTGCACTCACACTGGTACTTGGTTCCTTCCCTCCCCCTGCCCCATTTCCTTTCTTAGCATTTATAAACAATGTACTGCTGGTAACAGGTCTGCTTTCCCCAGTGGTGCTGGGGCCAGAGGGCACCAATCTTGTTTGTTGCAATATGAGAGCCCGTTACTTTTAGTGTATTCTGCACACCTACGACTGCAAACATGGTGCATCTTGTGAGAATAGACTGATGCTGAACCTCAGAGTAAATTTGCATGGAAAAGCAGATTCTGCAGTGCTCTACTGTAATCCTGAAGATTCAGTACTAAAACTGCGTAACACCATACAATTGCATTCTTTTTATGAAATACATCAAACCAATTTATTTAAGGACTGGTTAGCTACTTTGACACTAACGTGAATTAATTTTTTTTTTGTTTAAAAATGAGTGGAGTCTAAGATTCTGTGCATATTTTTCTACTTGGTAGTTCTTAAAGAAAAAAACAAGAAAAACCCCTTTGATCAGTTTAGCACTTATGAATTCTTTGCGGACTGCTGCTTTGGGTCTCTCTGTTGTACAGAACTGTACAAGGTTATTCAGTTTAAGAGTAGTTTTCAAAGAAGTCTGACAGAGTTCAAGTGTGGTTCATCTCTAACTTCCCTGGGAATAGATGAAGCACAGTCCTGAAGGAATGCTATGGAGTGCTGAGCACCCAGAGCCATGAAACTCCAAAGAGCAAAGATCCTATGAGGGCTGCAGACTCTTAAGATTCTGCATTGTGTGGGAAAAACAACCGTTGTATTTACAGTCTGATAATTGTCCATAATTGTTAGCATACAGTTACAACTTGCCCGTGTGCTACAGAAAAGTTAGGTGGGTTTCCTCTGTAGCACTGGAGATTTAGAAAGCTTCCAAGAGCTCTATATTTGCCAGAAAGCAAAGCTATTGTTTGCTCACAAGGAAAAGAAAAATTGCTAAAAATATACTTACTGTTTCTGATGAAATGCTGCCTTTGCTGGTGGAAGGACAACTCCTGGTATGTGACAGACTTGTTGGGCAGAAAGGTGTTACACCATAAAGCAGTGGAGGGTAGAACTGGTGGAGGTTTTTTTTTCTTTCCTGTACTTCTCTGGGTTTGCTTTACTGTGGCCGAACTCATAATTTAGTTCCCCTATTGAGAAGCTTTCTGTAACCATAAATGGTAAGGTATGAAAGAGTGCTGTCCTTTTTCAGATTAATTGCTGAAACCAGGAAACCACAATACCGAGACTGACTACAGCTGAAGGGACTGACTTTTCTCATACACTACAGCCACTTTACCACATCCCGCATCCCCATGGATTTGTCTTAAGCTGCTCTCCTACTGCCCTCGTGCAGCTTTTTGGTTTAGAAATCTGTTAGGTCTTTTGGGTAAGATTTATGGAAGTACTCTGGACTGCAAGTGTTATAAATATTCAATGTTTGTGGGGGTTTGTATTTTTCTTCTAAGAAAAAAAGTTCTGGGAGTATGCTGTTACCAGTGTTCCTTTAGACACAGGTAGGAGTCCTGTGGGGAACTTGTGTTATATCCTGCAGGATGTGGGGCTGAAGGGCACAGCCTCAGCTGGAGAGAGGGAGCACGTAAGCAAGAGAGTATGTTTTAGAGGAGATCTGGGGGAAGAAAGTGGGAAACGCAGAGCACAGGAGAGGAAAAGAAGATGCAGGACTCTGTTGTGTTAATGTGTGTGTATACGTGTGTGTACAAATGTATAAAACATCCCGTTTTCTTCTCAAAGCTTATCTGGTGTCTTGTTATGAAGCTGCATGAGTCTTGCAACAGAGATGGAACGAATACGGGTCTTCAATGAGCTTCAGAACTTGATTCATTTGTTCCTTTAGGGCATAGAGAGTCTACACCTTCTGTTCAGTTGTGTTCCAGAAGATGTGGTTTGCTTGCTGGAAGTACTGATGGTTAACAGAGAAGAAGATGGGAAATGCTATTGGATAGATGCTGCTGGAAACTTCTGAGATGCATGCAGGTCATCTTTGCCAAAAACCAGATCCTCCTGCATAAGGAGTTTTAGAGCACAAGAAGGCAGCTTCCAGCAGAGTGTAGCTGCAATGACAGAGGCTCAACTCAACCGCAAAATACAGCAATGAAGTTACAATGTGTGATAATGTTTTTGCTGCTGTGGCCTGTTTGTTGTTGGTACCCAGTTCATCAAAAAAGCCCAAATATCTGTTTTTCCCTTTTTGCACTGGAAATATGGTACTTTATGTTTAAAAATAAAGGAGCCTTTTCTTCCTGACCATTCCCTTCTCTGATAAGCTGGATTGTTGTTAGTATAGAGTGTGAACAGGATGGGCTGCCATGGTGATGACTGGAACGTTTAGCCTGGATGTTACTGGTAGGTGCCCTGCAGTGAGAGGGAGGAAGGCCACCTTATTGATAGACTAAAGGAACTGTAGTGAGTTCATTCAGCAAGAACACAGAGTGTTCTGAGTATTGTAAACAAGCACGGGATCCTCTCCACTCTGCTTTCTAACCTAATAATTAGTTGTTTCACCTTGAGCTGGTCATTCAGGCTCGCTTGTAGTAAAAGATTTGAAACTAGCAAGTTCAGAGAGTTTAAGCTGTCTACAACTACAGATGATTCTCCACTCATTGTACCTTTTTCTGTTATTACTGATGCAGAAGAGAACGCACAAAGCTGACTTGGATTTAGCTTTAAGGGTCTAGCAGTTACTAAGATGAAGCCTGCTTCTGTCATCTAGATTGGAAAGATTTATGATCTTGGCCGTTTTTTAATATTTGAGAAGTGATGTAGCAAAATCTGAAAAATGACATTTGAAGTTTGGAAAAAGCTTTAGAACAGAAGTTATTCCTAGCTACAATGTGATCTGGGTTGGTGGACTTTTTTTTTTTTTTTTTTCCATTGTTGAATATTTTGAAAACCAGCTTTGAATTATCCAAGATGAATTCTCAGACTAAGGAGTCAGGCTTCTAACAGGAAATTTTAGGAAAGATTTTTTGGTTGAGTGATTCAGGAGTTGAGGCAGGAAACAAGGTAATGCCACTGACTGAATTCACGAGTCTGTGGCTGGCTGTCTCCTGACTGCTGTCCTTAATTCAGCTGACTGATCTGAGCTTTGTGACAGCAGATCTGTTTGCTGGTGCATGCAGGAGCAAAGACACAACTTGTGCATGTCACAGACAAAACAGAGTAAATTCTGGAGGTGCTTTGGTGCCCTGAATGATGGTGCTTTGGCTTGGTTTGAGGTACGCTGGTGTTTTGAGCAGAGAGAAGCCATGCTCCACATCTGGCACCACGCATCACCTTTTGTTTCGTTTTCACTCCTGCACTGCAAACATGCAGGTCCAGGTGGCCACTGAATCCCGAAAGCAAACCCAAAATAACAATGTGCAACAAGCACTAAAGGTAGCTGCTATGCTGTTACCCATAGCTAGCATTTGGAGCCCAGGTCCAGCTGCAGTTGTGTGTGGATCTGCTGCTGGGGCAGTACCTCTGTTGCTTCTTTCCATGCCATGTAACTGGCAGTGCACAGTTTGTCGTGGCTCACCCAGAAGGGGATTGCTGCCAGGAAGGCACAGCCCTGTGAGTAAGGGTGGCAGAACAGAATGGGACTGGCTAGGGGCAGCTGGGGCTGGTCTGAGAGCCTTCTGCAAATACTGCTTTCTAACTAAGATTAAAAAAAAATAATAATAAAAAAAAATAAAAAGGCCTTCTCATGCTTGGCTTGGTGTGTGGTTTTAATATTTGGTTCCTGACAATAATTTGAGGGAGAAAAAGAGAAGTGAAACACTGTCAGGGGCGGGCTTTCCTGAACTGCAAACGCTCTGTTTCAAATCTGATCAAGCTTTGTGACATAGAATCACAGAATGACTTGGCTTGGAAGGGACCCCAAGGATCATCAAGCTCCAAAATCCCTGCCACAGGCAGGGCCACCAACCTCCAGATCTGGTACCAGACCAGGCTGCCCAGGGCCCCATCCAACCTGGCCTTGAACACCTCCAGAGATGGAGCATCCACAGCCTCTCTGGGCAGCCTGTGCCAGCACCTCACCACTCTCATAGTAAAGAACTTCCCCCTGGCATCCAATCTAACCCTTCCCTCCTTGAACTTAAAACCATTCCCCTTTGTCCTATCACTGTCTACCCAAATAAAAAGTTGATTCCCCTTCCTTTTACAATCCCCTTTTGTTAATGTCTTGCCTCCCACTTCCTTTATTTCAGTGTATTAAGCCCTTTGGCTGAGGCCAAAATAAACAAAATTTGAGGGTCAGTTTCCTGTGATTCATGGTAAGAAATGAGCAAGATATGAACCTGAAAGTAGTGGCTGGAAGTTAGTGAAGCATTTGCATCTAAGACTATCAGGTTCCATGGCAAGAAGATATCAGACAAAGGTTTAAGATAAATATTTTTGCGGAATTAATTTTTCTGCAAGTGGAAGGAAAAATGTGAGAGAAGGGATGAGTTTACAGCTCGGAGAGACAAATTGTATAAACGTTAGCGTACGAGGATTGTAGCTGTGTGTTGTAAATAAAAGTATGATGGGGCTACAAACATTGCGGCAGCGGAGGAGAAAACAGCTTCTGGCTTTTCTTTGCTGTACCACTCTGCAGAGAGTGCTCAAATCTCTGTGCTTTGTGCACTCAATTGTAGAACAATGCGTGCCATCTCTTTGTATCTGAAAGGGTCACTCATCATGACTGTGTGGTAGGGTAGAGGATGGTTACTCCTGCCAGGGAACTGGGCTGACTTTGCTGTCATTCTGAGGAAGCTCAAGAGGGTCTGCCATGACTCCACGCTTAATTTCTTGTTGTCACGTTGCATGAATTAATCTTAGCTTGTGTTTGCAGTTGCCCTGTCACACAGGAGGTGGTCGAATACAGTGGGTAGTTCCTCCTGGCTGGCCCAGGCATAGCGTGCAAACAGTGCCTGTATGCAAGCATAAGTGATGCAAGGTTGCAAACTGTAAGCTCCCTTTTGGCTTTAAAATAAAGAGCAGCTCAATATTTAAAAAAAAAAAAAAAAAAAAAAGTCTTCTAGGTGGTCAGAGCTGCTCATTTTATTCTTCAGAGCTAATCATCCATATGGGTTGTTTTCATGTTGAAGCATAAGAAAAATGTAATGGCTGTAAGGCAGAGTTAGTTTAATAAGTACTGCCATTTTATTTCCAAGACTTTCTGTTGCTTCTAAAGAATCAGTGAGCTGTGAAATGAGAACAGTTGTTTGGATCTTCAGAAAGCACTGCAAAGTTATTAGCTTCCCCCTTCTTAATTGAAACATATTCATAACGTAGTACATTGTCATTTTTAATGGGCATCATAAAGAGAAACTGTGGCTCTTGAACAAGAAACAGTCGCACTTGAAAATGATGCAAGTGAGAAGAGGCAAGATGTCCTAAGCTAAGCATTGGCATGTCTAAGTCAGATGCAGGCCAAGTTCAGGAACTTGGCTGCTGCTTGTTCAATAACTAAATAAACAAAAATGGTTGTCAGACTTGATGATAACCCACACTTCACACTTGGGTATCTGTGCAGGAGCTCTGAATTGTGTCTTTGATGTCCAGCTTCACTGTGTTGTGGCTGTGTGCTCAGGATGAATGGCTGAGAGGAAGGCAGCTCTGCCCTGATGGGCATCCATGTGGGTGTTGTATGAAGCTGTGGTAGGACTTCATTTCTCTTCCAAGTTCTCAAACTCTTCCACTGCTGTCTCTGGATACCAAAGCTTGAGAAGGTACTCAAGTGTTTGGTGGATACGTACTGACTGATTTCAGAGCTTGAATGGTGTGGTTTTTCTTTAATCTTGCTCTGTAGATGAGCACAAGGAGATAACTGCCTTAGTCTGGCAAGCATGAGAAAGCTGGAACAGGATGCCCAGCAGGCTGCTGGTGCAGGCAGCTGGGTGATTGCATTTGGGAGTTTCTGTGCTGTCCTGTGGTTTTGCTGTCATCTCTGAAGTTGACTGCTGCAGTAAAATGGGTAACTTTCTATCTCTTCTGTTCAGCGTTTGCCCTGTATCTTAAAGAAGGGCTTTCAACTCCTCATCTATAAAATGGCAATGATGTATCCATTCTTACTATCCTAAGGCCGAATACATTAATGAAATATAATTCCTTAATGGAAGGCACTCAGTATATTAGCTGAGTATAACTCAATTTGTAGTTGGGCTAA